ACATGCAGCTTTCTGGTGGCATGTTTGAGATTTGTACACAAGAGAGCCCTACCAGTTTTGTCAAATTTGTCAATTTGCTCCTCTTAATATGACACAAACGCCTCTGATGCTATGATTTGTTAAAATACATGAGGATGTCATATATACTGACAGTATGACATCTTTGCCATGCATTTCTGTTTTTCTGTATCATCATCGTTATCATCATCCCCATAGATCAAGTGCAAAATTAGAATATTATAGATGCATGATTCATGCACGAGGGCGGTTTATTCATAAAAGTACTAACATGCATGGCACACTTTCATAAGCTTCCCTCTCATTCACACAAAGATCAGGAAAAAAAAATCTATGAATTTTAACTTCAAAACTGCTGTAAAACAAAACAGAAAAACAAACCTAAGCTTCCATGGTGCTGAAATCAGAAGGCAGCAGCAGCAGCTACTTTCCTCTGATTTCTCATTCATATTTTGAGCAACAGAAATAATTATAAACTAGAGGGATACAGTCGTCCCTGCTGACCGTGGTTACACTGAGCCCCAGTAAACGATTATTCCATCCAGCTTACCACAAAACAGGTGTTTTCTTCACTTATCATGGGTGGCTCTTTATCCACGGTGAAATGGGTCCTATCCATGTACACATTACATGTTATAGTTGCTGCTCCCATCTGTGTGAACAGCCTCTGGCTCGAATGCGAAAGTCTGAAAAGTTAATATTTTGTAGATGAACAAAGATAATGGTCACTCCTAAATAATAATCACATTTTGGGGTCAATCAGTGCAAAATTAGCTCCGCTCGAGGTCAAAGGTCACTTATTCAAAAAATGATGTATACCTTCAAAAGGGTGGAAATAGATAAGCAACCATGTTGGGTCTCTCCGTTGGTGATGTTACATTTGACCTTGGGTGATATTTCATCCATCCATCCATCCATCCATCCATTATCTATACACCGCTTAATCCTCAGTAGGGTACACTTAGAGACAGACAACCAAGCACACTCACATTCACACCTACGGACAATTTAGAATCACCAATTAACCTCAACATGTTTTTGGAACTTGTGGGAGGAAGCCGGAGAACCCGGAGAGAACCCACGCTGCACCGGGAGACCATACAAACTCCATGGAGAAAGATTCCGGTGCCCCCACTGGGACGCGAACTGGCAACCTTCTTGCTGCGAGGCAACAATGCTGTGATATTTCATAAGTCATAAATTTTGACTGCACTGTAACGTGATAACGGTGCAAGATAGAGACATTGTTTGTATCGGATACCATATATAGGCTTCCCACTGGAGATGTGACATTTGACTTTGGGTGATATTTCAAAGTCAAACTCAAGGTAAAAAAAATGTTGATATTTCCATTTTGGTTTATGTATACATGGATAGTATCCATTTTATCTCGGACAACCAGCCAACCACGATTAGTGAACAAAAACACCCATTCTGTGGTAAGTTGGAAGGAATAATGGTTTACTGGGCAAAATTGTCATTTGGCCTTGAGTTAGACCTTAAAACATCATCCAAGGTCAAATATTCCATCCCCAAAGAGCCTATATATGCTTTCCAATACAAAATACAAAATTTCAATGTTTCTATCTTGCACGTTTTCAAGTTACAGTACAGCCAACCTTTATTACCTTGAGTTCGGCCCTAAAATATCATCCACGGTCAAATGTAACATCACCAATGCAAAGTCCCGACATGGTTGCTTGTCTACACCAAATACCACAAATCTACCTTCCACCCTTTTGAAGATATACAGCAATTAAAAAAAAAGTGACCTTCGACTTCTAGTGGAGCTATTTTTGCACTGATTGACCCCAAAATCAAATCATTCTGAGGAGAAGTCATTCCTAGCTCATCTGTAAAATATCAACTTGTTAGACCTTAGCACTTTAGAGACCTTTAGAGGACCAAAAACAATGATTCAGACAAAATAATTATTATGCTTCAACAATCGATAGATGCGCATAACCATGTAAATGAGTTGTTGGAGGCGTTCCCGGTCATCTGATTAACATTTCTCTTTTCATGAATATCCATATTTCTCACAAGATAGATCCAAATGTGCTCAGTCACTCTGACCTTTTCTTCAGCGTCACACGGAGCTCAAAATACCACCGCGGCACACAAGAAATCCAACAGGCGGGTTGGAATACAATTTTGTTCCAACCCCCACTGCAAGCGACCCTTTATATGTCAGTGACGCCATGGCAACTGTATGCTTTCAGCCTCACTGATAGACAAACTGATAATATATCGGAAACACTGGCACTTATATGGAGTAAATTCAATTTGGAATTTGTTTGAAATGGGGTGGCTACATCTTCTAAGTAGAGGAAGGGTAGGTAGGACACACTGCTTTAATGGATGCAGTGGAGACAACGATGATTAAAGGAATAACTAAACACAAATGCATAGGCTAAAAACAACAACAAAAAGTAACACAACAATTTGCATTAGAAGTATTCTAAACTACCAGTTGGTTAATAATTGGTACGATAAACACAACCTTTTACTTTTTTTAGGGAGCTGAAATCTTTAACTTAAATTTCATTTAAATACCACAACTAACTTTGTTTTAAATCATTTACCACAGACATTTCAATTACACACAACATTAAATATGTTTAATTACCAACATTATTGTCAACACAACTCTTCAAAAACATGGTTGTAACCAAAAAGGTTTCCCTCAATCATTAAAATAAAAATAAAATGTGCCTTGCAACATCAATTTAATGAAATTTGTGGTAATGAGTCCCCTGAATCATTTTCTTCTGTGTTCTTAAATTGTTCATCAATCAAACACATTCAGACATTCGGGAGTAAAACACTGGACATCGAGATGAAAAGACGACTTTCATGATGCGAGTAAAAGTGCTCCAAATCACTTTTTTTCCCCCTTCACTCATATGTGACTCATAACAAGTCTTTCATAACAATGTGAACTGCACAAATCACATGGAATCTTTTCATGTCTGATTTAGGTCACTTCCCCGTGTGGACTGAAGGCTCAGAGTTGCAATCCAACCTCAGAATCCATGTGAATTTTACATCATCGTTTCTCACAGTTCGGACGTTGGCAGGAGTCACCTGGTGAGGACAGCAGCAGCAGCAGCAGCAGAGGGACGGTGAGGTATAAGTGTATAAGTCTTGAGGGATGGTATTGTAATTGATTGAAACATAATTTGGCACTTGCACATAAACTTGCAAATTAAACTGTAAAGTCCATTCCATGTTTACTTCCAGTGTGCTTGGGTGTGATGTGGGTTTTGCTCTTTTGTGCCTGCAGGTCCAGTTCACACTAGAATCTGCTGATTTAGAAGTAAAGTCAACACTCAAAAAAAACAGCTCATCTGACCAATATATCCAAATTAAGCAATGAGAAGAACTTATCCAAACCAAAAGCAGAATCTCTGACATGCATCGGCTTTTTGACGTCTTCATCATCCACACAAAAGCCGCTTGCGTCTGACGGAGACAAAGCTGTCACACGGTTTGACAAAGCCAGAAATCTTAAGGATTGCGAGTCTGAAAAGAACTCTAGGCACATGCATATCCATGTGACAAACACACTCAGCAGCACCTACTCACCATTTGCCTCACTGGCACACACTAACGCAGCCCTCGTTGTGAGCATGGGGACGCCATGTGTCCGACTGACTCAGTGTGTTGGAGGAGATGACTTGGCGGCTGTACTGAGCACGCTCCACACCTCGTTCTCTCGCCGAGAGGCCTTCCCTTTAGCAATCACACAGACGCCTTCCCTGTGCTCCTTCTGTTCCCCTTCATGCCTCTTTCTCCTCTCTGACCGCCTCGTTATCACCCAAATGATAGCAGTCTGTTGAAGCTGTAGGCTGTAGTTGTTAATGAATGTATAAGCTCTCCATAATCATTGTGGTTATTAGACTTTATTTGGCCACTAAAGCACAGATTACAAACCAGTGGTTGAATGTAACTGATTCATGCCACTTTCTGCTTCTTCTTCACTGCTTGTCAGAGGAAAACAGTTTTTTTACTTCAGTTTGTTTATCTGGTAGCTGTAGTTACTTTACAAATTCAGATGTGTGCACACAAAGCATTTGAACAACTTCTAAAATGTTTTTTTTTTTTTTTTTTTTTTAACTAAACCAACTAGTTAGGGCCCCCCAAAGTCTGGAACACCCTGCATGAGGATCTGAGGCAGGAAAACTCAGTGTCCTCCTAAATTTCTTCTCAAAACTCACTTTTACCGTATGGCCTTTTCTTAACTACGTCATTTTTTTAAACATTTTTTTTCTTATGGGCTCTTTTTTTTTTTTTTTAAATTTTTAATTGTTTTATCTTATTTGTTTTTACTCTAAAGCACTTTGTAACTGTGTTTTGAAAGGTGACATACACATAAAGTTATTATTATTATCCATCCATCCATTATCTATACACCACTTAATCCTCACTAGGGTCGCAGGGGAGCTGGAGCCTATCCCAGCTGACTTAGGGCGAAGGCAGGGGACACCCTGGACAGGTTGATTATTACTATTATTATTATTATTATTACCATTAACATGTAGAAAATGTTTTTACTATGGATCACTGTTAAAATACAGAAAATGTCTGTTTTTTTTTTAATTTTTATTTTTAATCTTTAAAAACATTTTATAGCTAAGATACACTGTTAATTAACTGAAAATTTCCATTTTTATGAGATTGCAGGAGACAGTCTGGGCAATGAGCTGCCAATATATTTTACAGATTTATGTTTTTAGAGTGTGGAGAAAGTCAGCAGAATAATCTGTTATGAAAATAACAATTAGTTGCAGTTGGATAACAAATAGTTTAAAATGAGCTCCGCCTCCACAAATAATACAGTATGGTTCTATCTATACATTAATGTGTGAGTAGAAATAATCTACTGATATAATATATATCAATATTCAGTCACAAGGACCATAGTTCTGAATAAAGTATTTTTACTTTTTGTACTTTGACATACATATATACATACATACTTTTTCTTAACATTGCCAGTGCAGGACTTTTATTCATCACAGAGCATTTTACTGTCGTGGTTTTACTTAAGTGAAGAATGTAAATTATTTCTCCACCACTGTTACACACCAACATCAAAAATTAAACAACAAAAACAAACATCAGTCATCTCAATTTCTTACTATAAGTCGTCCTTTTAGTGTGTGATGTCGATACTTCAGTTATAGTGTCTATTTATAAAGTGGTCTCTATAAAGTCTCTATTTAAGATGAAATTACTATTGTGGTCATTCAATCAAAAAGAACAAAAACAAAAACAAAAACAAAAAACACTTTAGAGTTGTAGAACTATTACACCCCAGATTTGACTGTTTTACTGAACAAGCAGAGTTTCAGCAGCATCTTGTTCCTGTGCTGCTGTTAAGCTCCGAGTCCAGTCGAGGATGAACGCGGCCTCCAGAACTGGGCTGCAGTGGGTCCAGACTGGACTGAACTGACAGAATCTCCTCCACCAACCTCCTGAAACACCACAGATTTAGCAACGTTAGCGGTGTGTAGGATGCGCTGACAACTTTCAAGAACATCCCAAACTGCACTCTGAAATCTGTACTCATACAAAAATAACACCCTGAGATGCCACAAGTGAATCAGAGAGCCTTTCATCTACCATAGAATATTTTAGATGTTTTGAGAAAGACAGCGTTTCCTAAACACTGGTGTAGAGCTGCTTGTCTACACTGGTTGTCACACCACAGGTCGGCAAGTCCAGATAAATAACTTTCCCATTTAACAGCCTCTACCTGGTAGTTAACAGTCTTTCTGACCACATGATGGTTGAGTGACAGTGAGAATAGAATAGAATAGAATAGAACTTTATTGATCCCCTTGGTGGAAACCTCAGGGAAATTGTTGAGCCCAGCAGGCTTAATGTAGCACATCTGGTCAGTGGACTCCTGATAAATGGCCCACCAGAATCACCACGAAGGACTTGGACCAGTTCTGAGGCCTGACACTGGCTCACATCGAGCTAAAGTGAACTGATTCTCAGCTGTAGTTAGCCCTTCCTTAAGACTCTTCAGATTCCCAACATTTTCAGTTTCACTGTGTGGAAATTGGTTGGTTGGTAACTGGAATGATTGCGGGTTAGTTGGTTAGCACTTCAAGGTGACTCTTTGCAGCTTCATCAGAAGTTTAGTGTCAGATTTCTTGCTTTTATAGCATCTAACATCAGCTACTTTTATGTTTACATGTTCTCAATGATATTGCATGTAAAATGTAATTAAATGGTCTCAAAACTAAATGACTGGACATTTGAGCTTTCATCGATTATTCTTCTTATCTTATGGCCCCGTGTGATAGAACCGGTTTCTATCTACCTTTCTTTTTTTTTTTTGCCATTTATTACATCCAACTCTTATTTCTGCTTGCATACTTTCACCTTAAAATAAATTCTTTGGCTGATCAGAGCCCGCACCTGATATTTGATCTCGTCTTCTCTTACCTCATAGCTTCTTCAATGTTCTTGTTGTCCTTGACTGAAGTCACCATCCAAGCGATGAAGCCGTTGGCCTGACTGAACTTGTTGATGCTGTCTGTTGACACGACCCACTGGGACAGGTCACACTGCACGGAAACAGGTAGGGGGATGACGCAGTAAGACATTTACTAAACATATGGTGACTCATTCAATGCAGTTTTTGGTGTTTTTTGTTTTTAATTTTTCTGTCTTATACTTCAGCTCCGAAGGTTGTTCGTTTGATATTTTCCCTGCAACAACGTTGTGTTAAGATATTCATAGAAACTATTACAGACATGCAAGTCTAACCTGCTGTTTATAACACTGCAGCAATCTAATCAAATAAAAGCCTAAAGAGTTCATCAAGCAATCACCCAAACAAGTGGAACATTGCTCATTTATAAATACGCTGCCTGAGGGGTTTTTATGGTGTATCATTCATTAGTTAAATGCACTGAATCACCTTGTTGGCCAGCAGGATACAGGGGATAGAGTCTCCGTTGGGCAGCATGGCCTTGTTGTCCAGGTCCTGTTTCCAATGGAGACACCTGAGGAAGCTGGATGAACTGGTGACGTCAAACATCACCACACAGCCCAGCGCGCCTTTGTAATAGGCCCTGGTCATGGATATGAAACGCTCCTGGCCTGAAGGGAGGATACAAACCTCATAGCACCATCCATTTATCTATTCATGTATTCAACGACTAAAAATGTTTTGTACCTGCGATATCCCACAGATGCAGTCTGACTTTTTCTTTATCCGACCACTGGAGCACTTTCACAGAAAAATCCGCTAAATTAAAAAATACATATTAGAGACATAGAAAGAGATGAGTGAGAAATAAGGAAAAAGACACCACAGAGAAGACAAATCTAATTTTGTACAGAATACTCCAAATATGAGAAGAAAAATTCCCCACATTACAGCCTCCTCGAAGAGAAGAGCTCTTCTAGTTGCTCTTCTCGGTCAAAGGGTCCATGGAGCACTACTGACATGCAATAACTGTTGGCTTAGTATAATAGTATCAGTAAATGGATTGTGCATGTTTTAACATGACTATGTGTTTTACTTTTAGGTCCACATACTCTCTAAGAAATATTTGTATGTTGACAGTTGTTTTAACAGAATTTGTGCATCGTGTATTTTACATTTTTGGAATTAATCACGAGACAAAGCTCATGTAATTCTATTCCTAATTATTCAGATTGTACACAAAGTCCATAAATTCGACATTCTACAGCCCAGCAGCACTTTTTTTCAATACAAAAAAAAAGAAACAAGAAAAAGCAGCTATGTAATGCTGTGCTTAAACACAGTGGAACCTCATTTTGGCAGGTACTTGGTCTTCAACCAAAGTGGGGGACAAACAGAAATATTGACATGATGATGGCACTGGATGGAAGGTAAAGGGATCGCAGTTCACCTCATAGGGAACATAGTTTGTGGCTGCAATCCATGTAAAAGTCATAATAAAATCTCACAGAAAACCCAACATGTCAACCTCATGGTGGCATTTCAGGAAAAGGCAGATAGATCAAAGTTAATGGGACACAATATTTGGGACTGATGAATGTCTGCACTAAAATGTGTCTCTCAAATTTCTGGGGTATCACGGTAATTTCTGTCCATCCAATGGAGAGCCCGAATGTTTGTACAAAATTTAATTACAATCCATGCAATAGATATTCAGATATTTGGACTAAAGTAGGGAATAGATCAACATTACCAGCCATAAAACCCTGTGGCTATAAAATTCTCATGGTGTATTTAATGTAAACTGTGATCTAGTGAAAGTAATTTTAAAAGGGAAGTTTTTTTTGGGCCAAAGACATCAGAGAACTTCGCTGTCATGTTGTCGTGTTCTAACAGCCTGAAACAACAGTGAACAGTTTTCATGTTACAATAATAAAGTCTCACAATACACTCAGAGCTCTGCTTTCATCACTTTATATTCATTACATTGACTTCCATTGAACTCTTGGAGACTTACTCTACCACCTGATCCGCACCCCAACATTAAATCAAGTCTTCACAAAGGGAACTTCGCTTCCACAATGCAACTAGGATCCTGCACATTTTTTCAAAGAACATGATAAATTAAAGCAGCCATACCTCCCACTGTCGTCTTGTACGTACTGTTGAACTTCCCGTTGACATAGCGTTGTACGAAGGAAGACTTCCCCACTTTCCCATCACCAATTATCAGTATTTTCATCACATGCTCCGTCATTGCTCTTCTCCGTCAGACAGAGAAACCTCAGTGTGAAACACTGCCAACGGCTCAAAGTTCAAGCTTCATATGAGGAAATAGAATTTATGAGACAGACAGACTTTGTTTGCATTCCAAATGGTTTCCAGCCTTCAAAGCTTAAATCAGCGCACCCATAAATATAAAGCTCTCTGCCTCAGCCCCAGAACGACTACTCAGTTAGCCATGTTTCACTTTTCCCCGTCAAGTCTAAACTTGAGGTATGTTTTGTTAACCATAACTCTCCAAACGCTGCTGACTGTCTCTGTGTGTAGCTGAGCAGCTAAGTTTTGCTTCCTGTAGGGGTGTCGCAACACATCATAGTTCATAAACCACACCTTCATGCAACAGGAACCCGTCCTGAATCTCTGCAAACTCAGACATATGATCTGAAAGGTGTCGCTATTGCACCACCTTCAACCATCTCTGGATTTCACTTGGACTCCTCAAACAGCTGTCGACTTAGTTTCAAAGTAGGCTGTGATTGGCTCGTAACATTTCAGCCATATCAGCAGTAACAGAGCTTCACACTGTGTGGAGATTTTGGTGTTTAGTCTGGTGGAGAATCAGAGCTCCTGTAATATTACAAACAAAAAAAAGTTGGAATCTGTTAAGAATGATTTAATCTGCTGCTCTTGTCACAGTTTTGCTCATTGTGGACTCATTTTTCACTGAACTCCTGCACTGCTATGAAAACAGCACAACCATGAGTAGAAGCAGAGAGAACTAAGAATCTGAGGAAAAAAATAGTCACACTACAGAGTATAGATATTTTACTTTTTACATTTTCGAGTAGGTTATATAATTTTCTCTCCTTGCAAAACCTTGAACAGAGCCGACTTCAGAGCAGGTTAACTTAGCAGCATCGGTTACTATTATGATGTAGCAGATTAACCGAGTGTCATGTCTGTCAAGGTTCTGTTTTATGTGTGTACATTTTATGTCTTTCCTGTTTTAATTTGTAATCACTAAGCAGTTGTCTCTGTCCGAGATTTACTTCCCGCACCCGTCTCATCACACCTGCTGCCTGATGGCTTTCCCTCACCTGTTTCCCATCTCCCCTCATGAAAATAAAGAAGAACTACAGAAACAATACAGAGACAACATATAACCACCAGCCAACAGTTACATAGAATGGTAAATTAATGGCAAGTAGGGATGTCCTGATCACGATGTTAGGTTTCTTAGGATTTCATAATAAAGACTTCAACTTCAGCTTTGACTTTATTATTTGCCCCTTGAAGGGCAACAGGATCACAACTTTCTGATGTCCATCTCTACATAGTTGTGAATTTTAAATGTTCTTAATTGATACAGAATTCTCAATATATATTTGACCAATTTATATTTCAAATAGAATACACTGGGGCTGCCAGTATAGCTCAACTGGTTGAGCTGGCGACTCATGCACAGGGACTATAGTCCCCAGCGCAGAGGCCATGGATTTGAATCCCGCTCATGGACCTTTGCTGCAATTCCTTCCCCCACTCTTCTTCCTCACTTTCCTGTCTCTCTCTCTCGGCCGTCCTTATACAATAAAGCCAAAATGGCCAAAAAAATTACTTTAAAAATAGAATACACTGGCCACATGTCCTTGGACATGGAAACATGCTGGTATTGCCATTATAAGTCATGGTTCTGTCCCAGCTGACTCTATCTTTGCCTAATAGATGTGCGCTGGCCAGATGTCATTAAGCGTCACAGAAGACTTTATCACGGTACCCCTTTATTAGCCGAACCCCAACAGTACTCTCCGCTTGCTAACGGGGACCTCCCCATCCCTGGTTACAAATGTATTCAACAGGAAGAGGCTTCCCTTGGTGGCAGAACCAGGTACTACAGCTAATCTACAATAAGTAAAGTGTGCGTTATCGGCAGACGGTGAGTATTAGGGATCTGATTAGGGGCAAACAGACTTGACTAATACGTCTCTACGAGCAAGTAGTACAGAATGAAACGCACAAGAAACAAGACAATGAGAGGCTGCTCACGTTAAATCACAGCTGACAGGTTAGGTGAACATCTAGAATCAGTTGTAATAATTGATTGAAGCATGGGATTGAAAAACTTGAGATGCAGGCAGGATTTGAAAAGTACACAGAAGCCAGTCCTTGTCAGGAGGCTGCAAAAATCAATGTACATGTGTGGATGAGGCCGAGAAGGGTTCACTGCCAAGAAGTAATGTACAAAGCCACCAAGGACTGTGACAGTCACTGACTATTGTCCCTGGAAGTAAATGATGAACTGTGGAATCTTTTAGCACGGATATAGTTCCTGTTCCTATGCAGTGGCCTCTTGTTCACCACCACTTCTCGTCCATCTGTTTATCTTCCTCCACCGTCTTCCGGCTCCACCTCACTCCTTGTTGTCCTTCGTCCCATCCCACCTCCGCATCATCTTGTACATTTCTCTGTTCTTGGCGGTACTCACATATGCACACGCAAACCAAAGCATGTGGTGTTGACTACATTGTGAGTTTGACTGGTTTGCCAACTAGGCCAGTGTTATTAGATACTGGAGAGGTTTCAAACCCCCACCTGTGCTGAGTCATCATCTCTTTGTGAATGTTTTCCTGTTGGTATGATTCCATGTCTTGGTTCTCTTCCCAGTATCAGTTGCGGCATCATTCGGGATATAAAAATAACTTAGCCAAGCCGGCCAATTTTTAACATACAAACTGTATCAAAACCTTTGCTTTGGCCTAACATGCAAGGTTTTTTTTTTTTTTTAAACTTATTTATTTATTTTTCTCCCCTGGTAGGGTTCAAGTTCAAGGAGCAACCTCCAAAGTCAAGTCACTGTAGAAATGCCAGAAACTGCAGTTCCTTGAATAGCCACTGGAGGCTGGATCCAAAAGTGATTCAAGCCTCAGATACCTCCAAGTCAAAATGTCCAGCTTTACAGCAGAAATAAACATGTTCACAGCCCGGTACTAACAACGACTTTGGTCTCTGCATTGAATTTTCTGCAATGAATATAACTCATCTTTAAATTGTTATAAGGCTTAAAGTTAAGTATGATTAGGGCCACTGGAGTGACAGGTGGGTTCTGTCACCAGACAGTCCAGGACCAGAGACATTTCAAATGGCCCAAAGCAGCTTCACTTTGCTCCAACTCTTTGTTCATGTTTGGATTACCGGTAGAAGGAGTCAAACAAGACGGTGACAGCTGGACCCACCACACTGAGCTTCAAGAACGTCCTTCAGGAAACCTGTGGGCGACATCATGGAGGGTTTGCCCATCTTTGCATACAGTCTCTGCTCATGAGGGATGTCGACCTGAGCAACATCCTAGAACAAAACTAATGTTCAGGGTGCTTTAAAATTGTCCTCACCAGGAAGATGGCTTTAAATGGTCACTAGAAGTTTTATTTAAAGAAATGTATTCTTTTCCCCAAGAAGTAATAAAATAAGAAAAGAAATTTGAAGCAACAAATCTAATCAATCGCAAACAAGGACCAAATGTGACCCAGCTAAACCAGATCAAACTGCTGTCACAGTAGAAAGATTCCTCCTGCCCTCTAGTGGGCACTGATAGAAAATCATGGAATCATTAAAACAATGCTCTTTCCTACATAATCCTTATTATTTTGTTCAATAATTTTTTTCTAATTTAAAATGCAAAAAAAAATAAAAACTGCCCCTCTAACTACTCATATTGTCATTTTTTTTCTGTTTATCAGGATGATGCATCAGTTGACTGTTTGCTGCAAGATGACTCACCACTACAACAGAAAGTGTGACTGATGGATTTTTGAAAATTAAGTTCTAAATCTACACTATAGTCACAAAACTGAAGGGTAAAATAAAGTCCAGCACTGTGTCTCTCCTGTGTTTGTCTGACATCTGGTGGCCATGTTGGAAATTGCAACACCATGCACATGCAACAGGTTGGTGTTCATTTATGGGGAGGAATATTGCTTTGGTAAATTCATTCTCACTTTAAATCAATACATGGTTAACAGCAATTTTCTATGATATAATTGATGATAGCACAGCAACGAACAGCCTCTTTAGCCCTTTAATCTTCAAACTGCTAAAAGAATAAATAAAAATGCTTATCCACAAACTGACAGGACTGACACATAGTGTAGGTGACGTGGAAAATGTTCAAAAATTAAGTCAGAGTTAGTCGAGGAGATAATATGATTTTCTCAGATGTGAAGAAAAATAACTATAAAACTGTTCTGTTAGTAAGTTTCTGCAATCTTATGAAAATTCTGCATACAATTAGATGAATTTATTCATTTGTTACATCTTTATGCAAACCTTCAGTTAAAAAAATA